TAGCCCTCAGGACCTCAGGATGTTGGCTGTATTTGGAAATAGGACTTTTAAAGAGGTAAATGACAATGTGGTGTCTAAGGTGGGTCCTAATCCAATCTGACTAGTGTCCTTATCAGGGGAAATTAATCTATATAGAGAGATTCCTGGGATGCGCACATACCATGTGAGGACACAATGGGGAGGCAGACATCTGCAAGCCAAGGAGAGAACCAACCCTACAGAGAAAACCAACCCTGCCAGCACCTCAGTCTTGGAATTTCAGCCTCCAGAACTGTGAGAAAATGAAGTTCTGTTGTTAAAGCCACCCAGTCTGTGGTATTTTCCCATGGCGGATTAGCAAGTGAATGCAGTGTGAACTGAATTCAACCCTTACATCACCCCACTAGTTTGTCAGCAAAGTGGGACTGGACTGGGCTGGGGAAAATTTGCTCTCTGAAGGCCTTGTGGAAAGTTTCCAGGTTAGACAACAGTGGTGAGGGATAGGGTCTTCCCGCGTGAAAGTGGCCAAGTCAGATGGCTCCATCTCAGTGTTTGTTCAGATTTCAGAGGCCATTTCCTCCTGGTGCTTGTGTGCCAGTTGCTGGGCTGATCTTGTTTAGGAGCAAGTCTTGCATTGTATGGAGAGGAAGGAAGGGAGTGGGGCCATTTCCAGGCTCTCAGCATTGGTTCCTCTGCTCAGAGGTAGCTAATCACATGGGATTGTTTGGCTTCTGTACTTGACTCTGGGAAGAGTCGTTTGGAGGAAGATTGCTTCACAAGCACCTGCTCAGGTTGCCTGAGTACCTGTGGTGCATCACTTGATTGTTGGTTTAGTATGACGGAGATTTGGTCCAGTGACGTGAGAATGGCCCAATTTATTGGGAACCAGTTGTCAGCACGCAGTCCTGGCCACAGTCCTGAGCATTTCACGTTGAAGGTATTATTATGTTGTCTCTCATTGGCTCGTTTCAGAAAGGTGCAGGGTCTGTTCTCATGGAAAGCAAGCTTTCTTGTTCCTGGTAACTGCCACCGCACTGGCTACAGAGCTAAGTAAAGTATGGGGGCAGTGACTAGGGGTGAATTGAAGGAGTTTCCTGTTTCTGCAAGTCATCTTGAGGACCTGGATTAGCCTCCTTTTTATTTTATTTTATTTATTTTTCAATTACAGTTGACATTCAATATTATATTAGTTTTAGGTGTTACCTCCTCTCCTTACTCACTGGGTCAGGTGGACAGTTTAGAAGAAAACAGATCTCATGACCTGGTGAACTGAGAGATGAGGTCAAGACCAAAGAAGCATGCTTGTGCCTCCTCCGACCCACAGTGGGATGCAAAAACAAGTGGCAAAGCTAGAATTCGATAAAGAAGTTCCTCTCTCTCCCTCTACCCTTGCTGTCCCTCCTTTGTTCCTCTTATAGACACTTAACAGGTGCCACTAACTGTGCTGAGAGCCCCACGAGGAGCCGGCTTGGATATGCTGATCAGCCATCTTATCTACTTCACTGATTTCTTTTTAAAGATTTTTTAAGAATATATATCTTTTATTGATTTCAGAGAGGAAGGGAAAGAGAGAGAGAAACATCAATGATGAGAGCGTCGTCATTGATCGGCTGCCTCCTGCACGCCCCCGACTGGGGATAGTGCCCGCAACCTGGGCATGTGCCCTGACCGGGAATCGAACCTCAATATCCTGGATCCTAGGTCGATGCTCAACCGCTGAGCCACGCCCAGCTGGGCTACTTCACTGATTTCTTAAGGCCAAGAGAATAAGACTTCCTCAGAAATTACGGGAAGTTTGGAATGAGACATACCAGGGTTTGAATCCCTCTGTATTAACTGTGTGACCTTGGCCAATAATTTAAACTCTTTGAGCCTTTGATTCCATAGCATAAAAAAGGAATAATATTATCTCACATTGTGTTGTGATGAGAATTAATTGAGATACTGATGTACAGTGTTTAGGAAAGTCCCAATCCAGAAAAGGTGGTCAGTAAGTGGTAGTTTGCTCCTCTTGCTCAGCAAAGCACTGAAACACTGAGAACATTTGTGGAAGGATTACTGTGTTAGATATTAGTGCTGCTCTTCAGTGTTTCTGATTGTCCTCTCCTTCTGGGCACAAGGGAGAATGATATTTCCCCTGCCCCTTGAAGTTATTCATGGCAGCGTGACTTGCTCTGTCTAATGTGATGTGAGTGGAAGTATTTAAGAATGGATGTGTGACTCTTGCTTTTCCAAGGAAATTGCAAAAGCAGCTGTGGATATGGAGGCACCATAAGGCGAAGCATCCTGGAATGCAGAGCCAGCTGCTCTGAAGGTTGCCCAAGACCACACCACAGTAGACTCTGTGTGACTAAGAAACAAACTTTTGTTGTTTCCCCCACCATTGGGATTCAGGGATGATCTGTTACTGCAGCATCCCCTGGACTATTCAGACTGACACATGTACAGGGATGTACAAGATGTATCTGGAAGCACTGCCATATAAAAACAAGAGCTCTGATAGAGAAATGTTCAAAGTAATGCAGGACCCTGAGAACGGAGCAACTAATACTGCTTGGCTAGGCAGGGAAGAAATCAAGGAGGAAGCATTTGAGCTGGACTGTGAGAGCCAAGGGAGAGGAATGAATGAAAACATCTAGGGGACAATTCCATGTTCCCTGTGTGGGGAAAAGCAGATGAGCTGAGTCAGTGTGGGCAAAGGCACACAGGTGTGAAAATTCTTGGGGTGTTCCGGGAAGAATAAGACCTAGCGCTCCCCATAGAACATCTCTCCAATGAACGTTTTCCACATAGAACGTTTCTTCATATAACATACGTGCCTTTCTATGCAATGCCTGTCTACCAGCATTTATGTGGGAAAATATTATATTTACGTCCCCCAAACTTGATGCATTTTTAACAAAGTGATAGGAGGGAGCTCAACAGAGAAAGTTTGTAGGTTCACTCCAGATATAATTGGTAGCATAGCAAAGTTCATAGAAGACCATTGGAAAGGCTGTGAAGGTCAGCTAAGGGGACATGTAGCATGTTACACAGACAGAGTAGCCATGTTAATGACTTGGTGATCAGAGAGTACTGCTTTAAATATTTTACACCCTTATTTTACCATAGTTTACTAAGTAAATAAATAAATACCAAAAAAAATATTTCACGACCTAACATGTAAGCTTATTGCTTGTATACAGGCATTTTACTATGTTTTATGTTTTGAGAAAGTGGCTAAGGACTTTCAGTTTAAAATAATGGGGATGAGGCCAGCCGGCATAGCTCAGTGATTGAGTGTCGATCCTGAACCAGGAGATGGTGGTTCGATTCCTGGTCAGGGCACATGCCCGGGTTGCGGGCTCCATCCCCAGTAGGGGGCGTGCAGGAGGCAGCCGATCAATGACTCTCATCATTGATGTTTCTCTCTCTCTCTCCCTTTCTCTCTCTGAAATCAATAAAGATATATATACATATTTTTAAAATGTATCTATATATAATGTATTTTCTTAATCCTTGAGAAGTTTTCTCAGGGACCTCTAATTATGGTACTGATAGTCATAAACAAGCAGATAGAGTGTTATTCTGCCTGATTTCCCTCTTCCCCTGAGAATGCAAGATGGTAAGGACCTTTAGAACCCAGCCTTCTTGATATAACTGCCTACCAGCACTTCTCTGCCCCTTTTGTTATGCCACACTGTCAGGAGAGGTGAAGGAGAACTCCCCACTCCACCAGGCCACAAGACTCTGGGCTCCGCCGCAAAGAGGGTTTCTGGTTCCTTCCCTGAACCAGCAGGATTGTTCTGCCAAATTCTTTCCATAGGCTGAGATGAGACCTAGTTACAGATTCATACACTGTCCTCCTCCCAAGAGAAACCTTGAAACACATTTTAATTCTATGGCCAGTCCTGGAAGGCCCATTCATTCATTCATTCATTCATTCATCACCTACCATTGAACCTGCATCATCCTAGGTTCTGGGTGTACCGTGGAGAAGAAACCAGGCTCAGCCCCTGCCCTGTC